CACCAAGTAAAGGACACATTTCACATTCTTCACAAGGAAGTTCGATATATATATGGATGTAAAAGGAATCGTCTTGCCTTATAGCAAAACTGTTTCCGCCCGGGATCGAACCGGGGACCTTGCGCGTGTGAAGCGCACGTGATAACCACTACACTACGGAAACCTGTCCTGCAATACAGTTATCCAATGTTAAGGAAGATTCTATGTACATATGAATACGTGCAAAGTATACATATTTACATGGTTATATTAGGCTTACACATATGTACAAATATGTACAGATATATGTATATATGTATATTTGTATGTATACATATGTGCATATATGGTAGAACTTGCTGACAATGTAATGTGAACTATTAATACTCATATCCTCATATCCTATAATCTAAAGTTAGATTATATATAGCCATATAAAATCATGTATATGCAGGCCTATATATTTACATATAGACTGATACATTCAAATATATATATATATATATATATATATATATATATATATATATATATATTAATATGCATATGTATATATATATATATATATATATATATATATACATATATATATATCAATATGCATATGTATATATATATATATATATATATATATACATATATATATATAATTCCTATTCTTTTTAAGGTTATTACTATTATTGCTAACAGTACTGTTATTCTTCCGCTGTCATTATAGAATTTCTCATTCATTACATTTTGCTTTTTTGTCAATAATATATTTTCCTAATCTTCAGGACTTATCGACATTTTAGCTGCCGAGTCATTTATAGCGAGACACTTTCCGTAGTAAAAGATTTTTGATAGATAAGAGCAGGTTTCTAAGATGGGATTATAAACATATGAAAAGCATATGAAAATTGTGGAGAATCGCTATTATGCATTATATATTTTCCTTTTATTCTGCATTATTAAAGTTCCACGTAGGTTTAGTTTGGTTGTACTGTTGAGCAATTAAAGTCTTTTTAAAATCTTTGTCTTTTTTTAAATAACAGTTAAATATGCATTCCATTTAAGCCACGTATGCTGATCTGCAGACAGCAATGTTACCAAGGAGAGAAAATGGAGTTTCTGATTTGTACAGATTAACAGGATTTTTTCCGATCGAATTCATTAGATTGCACATTATGGATCCTAATTAGCGTAATTGTCCAATAAGGCTCAGTCATAGAAGGAACGATAAATAGAAGCAGGACGATAATCAGATGTGCTTAAGAGAAATGAGAGTACAGGTAGGCTGGCTTTGCCTCAGGCAGATAAAATAAATCAGTAGTAATAATAATGTTAATGAATAATGACATGATTATCATTATTCTAACTACTAATATGTCTGTAACTACTAACATTCTTTTTAAGGTAATTATTATTATTGCTAACATCATTGTTATTCTTTCGCTGTCACTATAGTAACTTTAATTACCGCTGAAATACATGAATAATAATTAGTAATGGGAATATAGATTTAGATAAATATTATTTGATACCATTACTTGGGTTATAACACCATTAAGATATTTCGGAAATTAATAAAAAGAATCTATATGTATTTTACAGGATCCATATTTTTCATTCATTGTGGTCCACTTTTCGTAAATAATAAAGTTTACTAATTTTCAGGATTTATCGATGTTTTAATAAATGCCAAGTCATTTATAACGAGACACTTTAGCTAGTAAAAGCCTTTTGATATTGTGAGACAAGTGCAGGTTTCTAAGATGAGATTATAGGTATGATGGCTTGCCTCTGTTTTAGCAGAAGGGAAGCAAATAGAAATCGTGGAGAATAACTATTATGCACTATATCACTTCTTTTTATTTTACATCACTAAAGTACTACGTGAAAAATGTTCCAGGTCTTGTTTGATTGAAGGATTGAGCTTTGAACTTTGTTTAATTTTTATTAATTATCATTTTCTTAACAAGTCAAATGTGCATTCCATTTTAAGGCTTATATGGTATCCTGCTGACAGCAGTGTTTCCAAGGAAAGAAAATAGAGTATGGAATCCGTAAAGATTTATTGTTTTTTTCCGGTCGAATTCTTATGACACACTATGGCTCCTGTTTGACATAACTGACAATTATGTACCGGCTCAGTAAAAGAGGGAACGATAAGCAGAAGTATGTGCGTAAGAGACAGGAGAGTATAGGTAAGATGGCTCTGCCTCAGACCTCTAGTAGAAGTGTCAGCCGTAAGTTGCAACTAGAGAGTATGGAAGATAAGGGAGATAGCCACGAGAAGCCTCAGCCTCAGCTTCTGGTTCAGCAGACCTCTTGTAGATGTGTCGGCCGTAAGTTGCAACTGGAGAGTATGGAAGGTAAGGGAGATAACCACGAGAAGCCTCAGCTTCTGCTTCTGGTTCAGCAGACCTCTTGTAGATGTGTCGGCCGTAAGTTGCAACTGGAGCATATGGAAGATAAGGGAGATAACCACGAGACGCCTCAGCCTCAGCTTCTGGTTCAGCAGACCTCTTGTGCAACCGGTATCCTCCGTGGGTTACGGGGATGGAAGAATAGCTTCTGTGAGAGTAAAGTCGAGAAGCTTCAGCGTCAGCAGCCCTTTTGTGGAGTGTATGAACGTTGTGTCCATAAACAGGAGTGTGGGAGATGGTCCTAATACCATAAGCATTGGAAGGCTCAGCATCTGCAGATCTCTTGTGGTGGTGAGTAGGGAGAGATGGTCCGTAGGACGGTAGAGGATAGACTGAAGTTCTGTAGCCGGAATGATAAACTACGCTGGGCTCCGCCTCTCGCTTCTCGATTTCGGAAGCGCAAACGGCAGCCGCCAGGAGCACAAACGCCTGAAAATGAATTCAGAGAAATCTGTAGATCTGCTGCAATGAGTGACAAATGCATCAAGTGGGGAAAAAAACACGTACTCACCAAGCACTTCATCTTGGGTTAAGCACTTTTGCTGTGGCCACAACAGAAGAGTGTGTGTGAGTAAGATTTTGTGCAGTGGTTTATATATGTCGCTAATGACCTTGTTGTGAGTGGAAAGTGCAAGTCAGATCTTGCATTTTGCCACCGTTCTCGTTTACTTCTATTGTTGAAAAAAGGACCTTAGGAGCTGACCATAAATATGGTATAAAAAGAGAGAAAGAAAGAAGAAAAAAAAAACGATAGCAAAGCAAATACTTCAGTACTGATATATACTTTTCGAGTTATATTAGATTTATACATATATACATGCATTTGTATATAGATTTGTATATGTATAAATGTGCGCATATATGGTAAAAGTTGCTAATAATGTAATGTGAGCTATTAATACTCATATCCTCATTTTTTTTTAGATTATGTACATATAGCCATATATTTAAATCTATATATGTACCCTTATGTGTATGCATATATAAGTATATCTATATTCACATATTTATAATTATATGTATATGTTTACTATATAATTATACGTGACATTTTGAATTCGAAGAAAGTCATCCTTTATAGGGTATAAGCTGTAAGTACACGTTAGTGAGAGCAGACAAATTGAATTACAAAGTTCATTTAACATACTGTACAGTAATTATATTGCTAACGAAATGATATACATTTCATAATGAAATTGAACCTAGTATTGCAAAAACAGAAAAACAAAAAACACAAAAAACAAAAAAATGTCAATTAAAATGTATTCGTCAAAGGGATGAATCTTGCGAATAAATGATAAATTTCTCTGATTTGTTTTGTCTAAATTCGCTACTTTTAGCAGGAATATCGCAAACATGGCCACACCGCTACAATAAACATACATTAATAATAATGATAATGATAGTACTAACAGTAATGATTATTATCAAATATTGTTACTTGTGTATCATTATTTCAATTGCTAATATTACTATATATGTATATGTTTGTTTTTTTTATTATTATTGATATAAAAACAATAGTAATAATAATGGTGTTAATGATGAATGGTCATTATTTTGTCTACTAATAATATGTCAATTCTCTTGAAGGTTATTATTTTTATTGCTAACAACACTGTTACTATTCTTTCGTTGTCATTTAAGAAACTTGTAAAATGATCACTGAAATATATATGCATAAATTAGTAATGGGAATATAGATTTAGATATATATCATTTGATACATTACTTGTGTCAGAGGTAACGCAACCGAGGAGTGTACTAACGAGAACTAAGGATACAAGAAAACAGTTAAGATAAAATATTTCGTAACTTGATAAGAAGAAACTATATGTATTTGACAGGATCCACATTTTTCGTTCATTATATTCAACTTTTTTTGTAAATAATAAAGTTTACTAATCTTCAATAAATTCCGAGTCATTTATAACAAGACGCTTTAGCTAGTAACAGATTTTTGATTTTGGGAGACAAGTGCAGGTTTCTTAGAGGAGATTATAGGTATGATGGCTTGTCTCTGTTTTAGCAGAAGGGAAGCATATAGAAATCTTAAAGAAACGCTATTATACACTTTATTACTTCTTTTTTATTCTTCAATGTTCCAGGTCTAATTTGATTAAAAGGTTGAGCAATAGTTTTTCTTTTTTCTTTTTTATCTTTTCATTTTCAAAAATAACTCAAATATGCATTCTATTTACAAACCATATATGCCATCCAGATGACAGCAATGTTACCAAGGAAAGAAAAGGGAGTTTACCGATTCGTGGAGGATTATTGATCTTTTTTCCGGTTTGAATAATTAATTAGTGACACACTATGGCTCAGGTTTGGCATAATTGTCGGTATTTCCGGCTCAGTAATAGAGGAACGATAACACAGAAGCAGGGACGATAAACAGAAGTATTGTGCGGTAAGAGACAGGAGCGTATAGGTATGATGGCTCTGCCTAGGGTCAGAGACCTATTGTAGAGGTGTCGGCTGCTGTATGAAGTTTGCACAGGAGGTAGGGAATTGTAAGCAGGGGATAAACCGTGAGAAGCCTCAGCTTCAGCTTCGGGTTCAGCAGAACCTTTGTAGATGTGTCGGCCGTTAAGTGGAACTGGAGGGGAGTATGGAAGATATGGGCGGCGATTAACCATGAGAACCTCAGCCTCAGTTGGCTCAGCGGACTCTTGTAGAGGTGTCGGGTAAGTTGCAGCTGGAGCATAAGGAGCGATAAGGGAGATAACCACGAGAAGCCTAGCTCAGCTTCGGGCTCGCAGACCTCTTGTGGAAACCGGTGACAGTGTATCCTCAGTGGGGCTAAGGGGATGCGAAGAATAGGAAAGAATAGCTTCTTGGAGATAAAGTCGAGAAGCTTCAGCGATAAGCAGCCTTTTGTGGCGTGTATGACCTTTGTCCATATCCACATAAACAGGAGTGTGGTGAGATGGTCCTGACCCAATAGGGCCTGGAAGGGCTCAGCATCTTGCTATCTGCTGATTATGTGGTGGTGAGTAGGGGAGGGATGGTCCGTAGGTCGGTAGATGGACTGAAGTGCTGTGTAGCCGGAATGATAACACTACGCTGGGATCCGCCTCTCGCTTCTCGATT